TTTTTTCCTTTTCAACTTAAATTATAGAACAATACGTTATCGTCAGTATATTCGACGTTGCTTTGAAATGTCTAGTCTTGGCTTTGGGTCATATTCCATCAATGGGCCTTCATCCTATTCCACGTCTAATCTTGCACACGTTGAGCCCCACTATAGTAATTGGTGGGTATTTTTGAATATTATACATTGATTATTCTCTTTATTACCTAACTAATAAGTTCTAGGTATGTACGTAGCTGGTCTTGCCATACCTCCCTGGCTGGGAGAATCTTGGATTTGGAAACATGTGGATCCAATGGTCGCGGTTGCAACAACGATCCTATTTTTCCTGCTCATCATTCCTGCATGTAAGGCGGTCTTGAAGCCCTCTCAGATTGTCATACTCTTTGTTTTCAGTTAGGGAGATGATGCCCTATATATTCGCAGACACCCCAGCAAAGTTTCATGTCGAGTCGTTTCAAGATGAGATTTCGAACAAGGTAGGATTTGAGCTCTGTTACGATTTTCCACGTTGTCACTGTGTGCTTACGTCAGTGACAGCTTGGGAATATCGACGAGCAAGATGGCTTTAGTTATTTTTTACATAGTAACTTTACAGTTTCCCGATGTCACGTGCACTCACATCCACGCATATCGACTGTGGCCTGGAAATCAATTTGAAGCTCTCATTCACTTGAGTTTTTTGGTTAGTTTTTTTTTCTGTTCGAGAGTATGTATTTGAAGTTGGCCCATGACGAGTAAGGTGGACGCGCATCTCATTGAAACAAAAGTTTTTCCATATAGACAGTTGAAAAAGTTTGTTTCATTGAGATGCGCGTGAGATTAACGAAAAAGTTGCAGTTGAAAGGGATCTTTTATTTCATCAGTAATTTTTGCTTTTGTTGGCTAATGCCTTGTGGTCTATAGACCAAAATCCGCGTAACCCTGACTGAACTTTTCACTACTTGTGTAAGCCGCACCTATAAGCTCTTGAGGTATAGAAAAAACAACTCGAAGTAATCGCTGTGTCAATAAATTGTGCCGGGTTTGTATATGCTAACACCCCAATCCCCTCTAGCTGGAAAATCGCGCTAGAGCATCGGTTTTGGGGCGCGCTTGAGACCTTCATAGTGAAGGATGCGGTCTGGCTGTGATGCAAACTAGTAATCAACAATGACATTTTCTTCTAGGTGGATAAATCGAAATCTGGATGGTCAGACGAAGCAGCCACACGTTATGCAGAAGTTAGTCAGAACGTTACAAGCGTGCTGACTAGAGCGGGAGCTCAAAAGGTGAGTGGGCTTATAGTCATCATCAATTGACAAGGCCTCTCGTGTGACTGCAAAATTTCATAGATTTATAAGCGTTAAGGCCATGTGGAATTTTCCTCGCAAGTATTCCAGTAGCTGAACAAGTTAGCATGATCGGTTTTGAAAAGTGAATTTCGAGAGAGAAAATGTTAGTTTTTCCATCATGTAATCATTTTACGAGAGACCTCGACGAATGGACGTACTGTATAGAATGTTTCTGGCTCCACAACTAGCTTCATTATTGTTTAGGTGGTTGTTGAACCGTCTTTTCTCGATGCGACAGAAATTGGTCGTCCGTGGGTAGGTTGTGTTGGTGCGACATGTTTCCGTCAAGACCGGGGATGCTGCAAAATACAGGATAATCGGGCTGCCGTTTAGTGGGGCTAGTTGTACATCGCTCAATCTCACACATATCAGAACATTGAACTAACTTCAGTTCATATCATTGTGCACACGCAATGCGTGAATTGTTCATTGATTTGCCGCAGTCGATCCAAATACGGGTGATGATCTATATCCTTTTACCTCGTTGCAATATTAACAGGCCCAAATGTGCTTATATTTGTTCTTGTTAGGACTGGAGAATTGTATATGCTTGTAGAAGATCCGTTTGAAGAAACAGTATTGATTGTGAAGCAGATGCAGTCGAGCAGTCTCTCAATGAAAATTTAGCAACTGCACACCTTAAGCCTCTTTTTTTGAGCTGTAAGGCGCTTTTGTTTTTTTT